ACTGTGTTGCATGTTTCATGCCTCTTATTCTGCCCCAGCCATCCAGCACTGCAATTCACTTCCCACCTCAGGGTCTGTGCCTGCTGCCCCACAACCCAGAACTTTCTCCCCAGGTCTTCTCATGCCTGGTTCCCGTACTTCCTTCCTGTTGGTACCAAGACTTTCCTGTAGTGGGGTGGATGGCAGTCTGGATTGTACTGTCCTGATTTGTTTTTCTTCATACCATTTGTTGCTACTTGACATTATATGTTAATACTAGAGGCCCAGTGCATGAAATTTGTATACAGGTAGGGTCCATAGTGGCTGCTGGCTAAGGTTGGTCCGGGGCCTCCCTTCCCTGGACTGCCAGATGTTGATATGGCCTTCCTTTGTTCTGTGCTGCCCCCTGGTGGTCAGCATACATCATAGCGAGTGATTGAACTCCAGATAGGTGGAACTCCCAAGGAGACACTTTGCATATTAGGCTTTTTTATACATATATATATATATATATATATATATATATATATATATTTCATCGCTGTATTCCCAAAACTAGAGTAGCCAGTGGTGGGTGTTCCAAAAGTACATGGGGAGCAGGTAACTGAATGAATGAATGAATAAGCATGGGAAGGTGGGGTGAGATGGCGAGTATCTCAGTCCATTCAGGCTGCTATAGCAAAATACCAACCATAAACTAGGTGGCTTGTGGACTTTTATTTGTCACTGTTGTAGAGGCTGGGAAGTGCAAGATCAAGGTGCTGGTGGATTTGGTGTCTGGTGAGGGCTCATAGGCGGTTGTGTCCTCACGTGGCAGAAAGGGTAAGGGAGCCCTCTGGAGCTTCTTTTGTAAGGACACTAATCTTATTCATGAGGGCTCCACTTCATGCCCTAATCATCTCCCAAAGGCCCCCTCCCAAATACCATCACATTAAGATTTCAACATGAGTTTGGGGGACACAAACATTTTATCTACAGAGGTGGGGGGTAGGGCTGCTGAGGTAAGAGCTGGAGGGTGCTGGGCCTCAGGGGGGCCGGCTGAGGGGCACATTGGCTGAGAATGTAAGAAGAATGAAGGTTACTACAGCGTGTGAGCAGGGGCTGTATGACTGGGTGGTAGTTCTGGGGTTCTTCGGGCTACCTATGTGTCTGGAGAAGCAGAGAGACGTAATTTGGACAGGGGCAGTGGAAGCAGAGGGAAGCAACTTGATTCCAAAGGTTTGAGATGTGGAATCATGAGAGCTTGAGGATAGATGCAGAGAGCTGGGACGTCATGAGGGAGAGGAGAGGGTGGAGGCAGGATTTGCTCCCTCCTCTCATCACTGGGCTCTCATTTCTGAGCTCCCTGGGAGCAGGGGGGACTCTCACACCTGCACCCTGACCTAAGATGCCCTGAGGGTGGAAGGAGTGGTGAGAGCAGCCTACAGGTGAAGCCCCCTAGGAGCATGAGTGGTTCTGAATTCTGGGATCAACTAGAGCAGGGTCCTTACCTTCATCATGCCTTGGTTTCTTTCTTTTTTTAAAATTTTTTTTATTTCTGAGAGGAAGGGAGAGGAGAGAGACAGAAACAACAATGATGAGAGAGAATCATTGATCGGTGCCTCCTGCACATCCCATATGGGGAAGAGGGGGCGGTTTGAGCCCGCAATCAGACATGTGCCCTGACGGGGAATTGAACCGGGACCTCCTGATTCATAGGTCAACTCTCAACCACTGAGCCACACCAGCCGGGCCTTGGTTTCTTCATCTGTAAAATGGCATCCATGCCTGTCCCTCTGCATGAAGGTTGCTCTGGGACTAAAGAAGACACTCAAGGGAAGAAAAGCCCTGGTTCTCTGGGCGTGGGGTAGATGCTATTAGTGTGAGCCTCTCTCTGGACCTGTGTGAGGTTCCTCAGGCCCAGGAAGGAGAGGTTTCTGTCTGGGAGCCACTGGGAGGTGGCTCCCTCAGGAAGTGTGACATTCGTGGGCTTTCAGCAGAGGAGACATGAGTCCAGCTGGCCCTTCCTTTGAAGGTTCAGTAGCAGAGGCAGAGACACTAACAGATATTTTCCCAACTGAGCTAAGTGCTGAGATTAAGGGGTGTCTGTGGGGTGGGGGAGAGGGGGGCATGGAAGGCAGGCTAGAGGGAGCCCTGGAGGGGTGGGTAGGCCAGTTCTGCAGGGCTGAGTGGGGTGCAGGAGTGGCATGCTCACAGGTGCAGAGGCCAGAAAGTAGCTGGCCCAGGAGGAAGGGGGGGGGCAGTCAGAGGCCCAGGAATTTGGTGGGGAGCCAGAGCAGCCTTGGTTTGTTCAGAGAGATTGGACTTGGTCAGAAGCAAGCAGTATGTTGGGAACCTACTCTGTGTAGGGTCTGGGCTGCACCTCTACCCAGATAGGCAAGGAACTTGTAATGTAGGGAAGACAGTCCATAGACAGGGTCTCCTCCGGTAGTGCTAAGAAGGATGTAAAATAGCATAATGGGCAATGAGAGAGAGGACCATGGGGTGGGGCAAGTATGGCCTGGAAGGCGTTGTGGAGAGGGCCACAGGGGTGAGATATGAGCGAAGCCTCGAATGGTGAGGAAGATTAGGTGCAGAGGCCTGTGCTGAAGAGGCCACTGTGGACTGGAGATGAGCAGGTGAGGGGAAAGGCCCTGGGAGAGGCCAGTGGGCAGATGGGTTTCAGATCATGTAGGGTCTCTTGGCCATGGAAGGGTTTGGTCCTAGGTACAGTATGAAGCCACCAATGGATTTTAAGCAGGGCCTCCCCCTTTGGATTGGGGGTTATGAGTGGCAACAGGAAGCCAGAGAGGCTGATGCTGTTGTCAGGAGAAAGACCGGTGGTCTGGGCCTGGGGGTGGAGGTGGAGAGAAGTGGGCAGATCGAAGGAGTGCCTTGGAAGCAGAGCCGCTGCCCTTGCCACGGGAGGAGACGTGGAGCATGCGGGAAAGAGGAGCAGGCGGCCCAGGCAGGGTTTGGCCTGAGGCCAGGTATCAGGAGTGGGTGAGGAGGCTGGTGAGCGAGCCAGGGATGGAATGGGAAGGAGCCAGAGCCCTGCAGGCCTTGGGAAGTGGGCTCCTGAGCGCCTGGCCTGGAGACCCCCGGGTCCTGTGGACCCCTTCTCTGAAATGCCACTGCCTCCTGCTTTCTGAAATGGGGAATCGGCCCCCAGGAAGGCCTTGCCAGGGACACAGCTTCCCTGGGTGCATAAAAATAATTGGCTTCCTCTATTAGTTGTGATTATTCTTCTCGACAATTCACATGTTAGTCATAAAAGTGGCACAAGAAAGAGGGAATGCTCCTTACTCTCAACAACTAGGGATTCCCAAGGGTATTTTCTGAATCCAGCCGTGTTCTGGGCCTTGCCACACGCCACTGCCTCTTGAATTCAGCTTGGGGCTGTGCCACTCCGCTTCCAAGTCATACTGTGGCAGTGCCACCTTCCCTCACCCTGGGTTAGTTGTGGGCCTGTGCCATCTCTCTCTCCTCTTGGTTTAGCTTTTGGCTCTGTCATCACATTGTCTGTGAGGCCTGACCCTGCATTTTATTCTGGGCCCACGAGCTCTCTCCTTGACCTTGATTTTGTTTCCAGCCTGTGCCACCTCTTTCTGTCTGTGGTTATCTTTTGGACCGGTGCCTCTCTCCTCACCTGGCGTCTGCCGAGGCCTGTATTACCTCATGTGCTCTCAGTCTCAGCTCCTGTGGGCTGAGTGCATATCACCCCGGGGCCAGTGGCCCAGGACCTTGACTCTTAGTTCAGTCTCAGAGGGAGATCTCTGCTTGGAGTCATTATGCCTGGAAGGGACATCCTGGGAGCTGGGTCCCAGCCCTCACCTCCATTTTACAGAGGCCCATAGATGTGGAAGCCCCTACCTGAAGTCACCCAGAGTTCAGGGCAGAGCTGGGGATCCTCGATCTGCTCCTGGTCCTTCCCAACCCCCTGCCCTGCTTGGACTGTCATGTATGTACGCATGTGTGGGCCACATGTGCGAGTGTGGGTGCTATGCCTCTGGCAATGCCTGCTCTCCCGGGTGTCTCCACTCCTCCCCACACTTGTGTACAGAGAGTGCATCTGTCTGCCTGCGTCTGTGTGGGCATTGCGTCCCTGGTCAGCCTGTGTGGGTATGGCATGTTGAGCTCACAGTGGTGGTGGTGCAGACATGACCATGCACAGTGCTCACATGTGCAAGGTGTGTGTGAGTGGTATGAGAAGTGCCAGGTTTTTCCCCAGCCTGTATCTGCCCACAGCCAAAGGCCAGCTCATGTCCACTTGGGCCAGAGCGAGATAGCCCTTTTGGAGCAGGGATTCCAGGTGTGCCAGCCCCAACCTTCTCTCTGTCTCACCCGGCCCCACCCCCACCATTCCCCATGTCTGACCTGGACTCCAGACTCCGCTCCCCAGAAATCAGGATCTCAGTTGAGCTGTGCACTGGACCTGCTGCTAGTGCGCCCCCCTCCCCCAGGGGCAGGAGAGTAGAGGCCATAGTCCTTGTCTTTATTCGCTAGTGCCTTTGCCCCTCTGGGACTCAGTTTCCCCATCTACAGAACAGGGCTAGTTGTGGCCCTGAGGGAGCTGGTGGGAGAAGTACATGGGGTGATCTCTATGCAGTGCTGTCTGGCATGGAGCCTGGCACAGAGGAAGCATGTGACAGATGTTGCCTGTTGAACTAAGACAAAAAGCCAAGCCCCCCAGAGGGTCCTGAGTGGGTCGGCGTGCAGGCATCTCAACTCCAATCCCACGTTCTCTCCAGGACCCTGGAGTGGGGTGAGGGTCAGCGGCAGGTTTTATAAAGCAGCACATTAGTGATGAACTTGACAGGGTGGGAAGGACTGGATGGGGCAGGGCAGCGGGCAGGAAACAGGCCGCAGGAACTTCTTCCAGCAGACGTGGGGGGACGAGGGTCCAGGCTCCTGTCCCATCCTGCCCTCATTTCCTGGCCTCGTTCGGCTTCTGATATTCTCTCTTAGTTGCTCTCTGCGTTTCTCCCTGACTGCCCATCTGTCTCCCTACCCACCCTCTGCCCCGCCCTGCTTCCCCTCAGCAGAAGGCAGACCTGGCTGTGGCTGCATTCACCATCACAGCCGAGCGGGAAAAGGTCATCGACTTCTCCAAACCCTTCATGACCCTGGGGATCAGCATCCTCTACCGAGTGCACATGGTACGGTTCCCGTGGAGACCTGGAGGCTGGAGGCTGGAGGCAGGGGCTGCACCTGGGCAGGGCCAGTTGGGCTCATGGGCTGCTGATGGTGGGGAGCAGGGGCTGGCATTCAGCTCAGGTCAGGGTGGCTGGGGGGTCTTACTCCCTCTCCCCACAGGGGCGCAAGCCTGGCTACTTCTCCTTCCTGGACCCCTTCTCCCCTGCTGTGTGGCTCTTCATGCTTCTTGCCTACCTGGCCGTCAGCTGCATCCTGTTCCTAGCTGCCAGGTGAGCTCACTGCCCGCTGCCTGGGAAGAGGGGGCAGGGAGGAGGCCTGAGCCGGACCCACGAATTGACCTGCACATTCTGTCCTCTGTCTGCACCAACCTTGGCCTCCACCCGGGGCCTTGGATTCCCTTTTCCCTTCTCCCGTCCTGGCCCTGTCTCTGCATTTCACCCTGTGGCTCTGACTTCTCTGTGGCTCTCTCTTTGGACTGCTCCCCTTCCCATTCTTTCTATCTTTCTGTTTCTCTGCATCTCTCTATCTGTGTCTCTTTCTGCCTCTTCTCGGTGTCTCTCCATTTCGGTGTGTCTGTCCGCCCCCCTCTCTCTCAATGTGTTTCTCTTCTCACCTCTTCTTGTGTGGGTCTCTCTTTGTTCATATCTTGGTCTCTTTTCTCTCCGTTTCCTGTCTCTCCCCCATCTCTCCTGATCATGTTGCTTTGTCTCGTTCCTGTTTCTCTCTTTTTTCTCCCCACACCTTCGCCGCCTTCATCCTCCCCCACCACGTCTCTCTGCAGGCTGAGCCCCTACGAGTGGTATAACCCACACCCATGCCTGCGGGCGCGCCCCCACATCCTAGAGAACCAGTACACGCTGGGCAACAGCCTCTGGTTCCCTGTCGGGGGCTTCATGCAGCAGGGCTCGGAGATCATGCCCCGGGCGCTGTCCACTCGCTGCGTCAGCGGAGTCTGGTGAGAGGCTTTCTGTCTGCCGCCTGGGACTGGGAGGGGACACTCTGAGGCCTGGTTGGATCCTTGGTCCCCACTGCTAGCTGTGTGCCAGGGAATGGGGTGGGGAGAGTTGAGCTCCAGCTCTGCTATTTACTAACTGTGTGATCTTGTATAGGCCATATTTCCTTTGCATGCCTTAGGCTCCTCATCTGGAAAATGGGGATAAGAATGCTCTTGGCTCAGGGTATAAGGATTCAGTGAGGCTATTACAGGAAAGTGCTTCTGCTGACATGAGAGGTCACAATCAGAGTGGTACCAGTACTATAGCTGTGCTCTGGCGATCACAGAGACAGAATCCTTGAGCGAGGACATCCTTCACTATCCTGAGGCCAAGGCCCAGGCAGAGACACGTGGTCCCTCAAGTCCTATGGGGAGCCAGGAACTTGGACAAGCTCTGAGAAGCTACATGTCAGAGAGCAGACATCAACCTATGGTGTCTGGCTCAGAGTTTACATTTTTTTTTAAATTAATTGGCACCATTTAAACAATGGGCAAACTCACTCACAAAAAGAAGGAGTGATTTACTATAGAGCATGCATTTGGCTAGAGGCAGATTTCTCTTCTAGAAAATTCAGCTCTGGTGGCGCTCAGCTGGAATTTCCACCTGGCATTGCTGTCTGTTCCTTCGGCCTTGTCCCCTCTCCCCCTCCAGTCAGTCTGGCCTGGCCTCCATAAGCACTTGAGTTTGCTGCCCATCTTCCAAGTAGCACCTGGACTTCGTTGCAGATCATATAACTCTTCTCACCTCCTTCCCCTCATTAGACCCACAGAAAACCGAGGAGAATGCTTAGGAAAGAGAATGTTCTCCTGGCTTGTTAGAAGGCAGACCCAGAGAGAAGGAGTGATTTACTATAGAGCATGCATTTGGCTAGAGGCAGGGCTGGGCAGGGCCAAGCAAGCCCTGGTTCCACTCACACCAGCCAGCCCTTGGGCTGCCTGAGCCCAGCCTGCTCCTTAGACCGCTAGTGACTCCTCCAGGTCAGTCCCAGGCATCAGGCCTTCTCACAGAGTGCCTCTTCCTCACCTCCTGTCAGTCAGAATTCCTGCACAATCACTGGGGTCAGGTGAAGAATCAGCCCTTGAGAGGCAGAGGAGCTGAGAATAAACAAGTAAACAGATACATAAACACAAGGATGTCATATTTCATGCCAAGAGTATGTGCCAAAGATATTGTCTAATTCCCAATTTGTTTAATTCAAGAGTAACCATAATGGTAGCAGGTGTTTCTCTCTCCCAACTAAGAGGGACTAACTGGCACATGGCCTTGTTTGCCATTCATTTGGCCCACTGGCTGCGAAACTTTTGAGTACTGATGGCTTTTTCCCAGCCTTTTGGGATTTGCTTCATTTCAAGTCTTCTACTCTGTATCTGTTTCCCAGTGCTCCTGCAAAAATCACAAATGTAATGGCTTAAAGCAACATAAGGTTCTGGAGGTCAGCAGTTTGAAATGGATCTCACTGACTAAAATCAAGGTGTCCGCAGGCCGGTTCTTCTGGAGGCTCCGGGGAGAGCCCATCTCCTTGCCTTTTCTAGCGTTTAGGAGCCACCTGCAGGCTTTGGCCCGTGACCCCTGCCTTCATCTTCAAAGCCAGAGTCAACGTCATCAAGTCTCTCTTTCTGTCTCTGACCTCCTCCTTCCACTGAGATTTCACTGGGCCCGCCTGGCCAATTCAGGGTTATGTCTCCATCTCCATTCCCTTGACTTCATCACATCTGCAAAGACCCATTTACACTGTGAGGGAACATACAAGCTCCATGGATTGGGGTGTAGACATCTTGCGAGGGGGGCTTCCTTCTGCCTATAGTGCACCCCGAGGGAAATTCATTAACACTTTCAGAGTAGTGACGCATGAGATGCATGCACGCTGTGGTAGTGAGGAGCCAAAATCCTTGCAGGGAGAGAGCAGTAGAGAGTGGGGTGCTCGGCTCGAAGGCCCATCTGAGGAAGTGACAGGCTGAGTCTTAGAGGCTGAAACAGAGGCTTCCATGTCACAGAGAGAGAGCGCACTCAACAGGCCTGGGGAGGCACGTGTGTGAGGAGGTGGCTGAGAGGGCGTGAGACCTCGTCCCACGTCTGGCGAGCAATCAGGGACCTCCTCTTTGCTGGCCATTTTGGCTTCTCCAGCTGGGCAGTCCCTGCTCCTGCCCATCGCTATCCCCAGGAAGCTCTCAGTCACATCTTCCCTCCCTGGGACCTTTGACCTGGCTCACTCTCATTTCACCCCGAGTCCTCCCACACATTGGCTTGTTCAAAAGATGTTTCAATAGGTAGTTTAGTTATTAATCTTCAAAAGTGACCCAGCCCGATGGTTGGGCAGGCAGGGTTAGTGGTGGGGTGGTCGGCGCGGGTGCCAGTACCCTGCCAAACTTGGCTGCCACCTCAATAGCGGCAACTGGGCCAGGACCTGCTGCCGGGGCTCCTCGTCACATGTCCGGTGGGGCCACAGCCACCTATGGCCACACCCAAGGACTGGTCAGCATTCAGCAGAGCTCCACCTCGGAAGTCAGTTTCTGAGCTGAATAGGTGGTCAGGCTCTCCTGCGGTCACTCCCAGGACGTGAGTCCTTGGACCTTCCTCTTTCCTACTTCCTCATCAGTCCACGTAGGTAGGCTCCCGGGTGTGTCTTTGGCTGCTCCTGTGCCATTGTCCTCAGCTCCTCCTCGGGTCCAGATGCCCTTTTCTCATGCCCTCTTGGCAAGAAGCCCCCAAACTTCAGCTCTAGTTGTATCTGGATTTCCACCGGGGTCACACGGGACCCTTTATTGATATGTCCAATACCCCCTCTTTGCCATCTTCCTCCTAGAAACCCTTTGCTGATTCCTTCCAGTTTTCACCTGTGTCTTTGGATCCTGTTTCATTTCACCCTTGCATCTCACGGATTTCCTCCCTCCTCATCAGTGATGCCCTGTTTACAACAAATGTTCTGTAACATCCCCTTTTCCACCCCGATGAATTTCAAGGGTAATCTATCTACCTATACGTGTGATTTACCAAATCAATAAAACGCCCTAATTGTAATACAGGAGAGAAGGGGAAGTGATTTATGATAAAACAGCCAGCTAGCTGCGTAATTGCCTGGGTCGGACGATGCTAGAAGACTGGCTGCAGCAGTCAGGTGCCTACACGTAATGCGCATGTGTAGTCACAGAAGTGAGGCCATGTAACAGAATTATGTCAACACCTGAGTTGACACTGAAATAATCAGTGAATGGGTGCGTTTGTACAAATACAAACGTGAAGGGGGCGGTTTATGGATGCAGCTGGACCCAGTGTCTTGACTTGGCGATTCAGGTACCACAAGCAGGGCTGTGCTGACAGAGATGCAATTTCCCAAAATGGTGAGCAGTTATTGACAAAGTTTCAAACAAAGCAGCACCGAGTTCTTCCTCAATTTAAGTAATAAGTGCATTTCTATAAGTTTCAGTTTTACCCTAACTGATTTGGCTTAATGGATAGAGCATAGCCTACGAACTGGAAGGTCCCGGGTTCGATTCCGGTCAAGGGCAGGTGCCTTAGTTGAGGCTCATGTGGGAGGCAACTGATTGATGTTTCTCTCTCTCTGTGTCTCTCCCCTTCCCATCCACTCTCTCAAAAAATCAATGAAAAAATATCCTTGAGTGAGGATTTTTTACAAATTTAGAAATCTCAGTTTCTATTGTAACCATGTAAAAATACTTGGTTTTTTTATGTACAGAGGAGGTTCCGATAATCACAGGCTGGGTTTTCTCTGTTGTGGAGACTGGGCTGCATTGTCAGACACCTGATCTCTGCCTCTGACACCAGCAGCCCCCCTCCGTTATTTCGACCACCAGAGTGCTCCACACCTAAACAAGCACCTTCCTCGGGGGGGACCACTACCCTGTGCTTCTGGGGCCATATTACCCACCTCTGCTTGGGTGCCCAATGGCCCCCTTAAGACTCAACTTGTCCAAAACAGAGCTCACATCCTCACTCCGAAATCAAACTCCCCTGCTCTATCTCAGTGAGTGACCCCTTCTCACCCACTCCCATCCCACCACAAGTCAGCCACGCTGTATTTGCAGGGTCTAGTTGGTCCTGGTGTCTGCCGGGCACTAAATAATTTTGTCTTACATGAATGACAACATTGCCCCATGGAGTAGGGTAGGTTTGGAGGGAGTTGAATTCAGAGAGGAGGTATCAGACTGGGTCTGTGTGTGCTGGGTTTTGGTTTTGGTTTGCAGGAGGCTGTATTATTCCTCTCCTATCCTCCTCTCCACCCACCCCAGTGCCTTGCACAGTGCTGTGCAAGTGTGCTCAGCAAAGAGTAGATGTTGTTTTCATTATTTTTTTTTTAAAGAATAGTTTATTGATTTTTTTAGAGAGGCAGGGAGGGGGAGAAACACTGATGTGAGAGCACAACATCGATTTGCTGCCTTCTATAGGGATGGGGGCGTCAAGCCTGCAACCAGGGCATATGCCCTGACCTGGAATCAAACCAGCAACCTAGGCCCAACCAACTAGGCCAGGGCTGTTTTCAATATTATTTGCTGGAGGAGGTGTGGTCTGGGAGGCCCTCTCAGGCCCCACAGAGCTGTACCATCTGCTGGAAGCCTGGCCTCTCTCCCAGGTAGTAGGACAGAAAGGGCCGAATAAGAAAGACTGACTGCCCTTGGGACCCGTAGGCAGGTTAGTGGGCACCTCTTTTCCCGAGTCAATTCTGAGTCACCAGGATAGTGAGAGCACACACTTGTGCAGATGTAACTCAACAGCCCTGTGAGGAGGGGCCCACAGTTGTACTTACCTCACTGTTGAGACCCAGGTTACACAGCTAGGCAGTGATGGAGCCAGATTTGGGGATTTTCCAGAGCTCTATTATTGATTTCTAGTTTCGTTCCATTGTGGTTAGAGAACATTCTCTGTAGGATTTTACTCCTTTAAAATTTATTGAGACTTATTTTGTGGCTTCACATACCGTCTTTCCTGGTAGCTATTCTGTGTGCACTTGCATAGAAGGTGTTGTTGGCAGGGCAGTGTTCTGTAAATGGCAGTCAAGACCAGTAGGCTGATAGCGTTATTCAAGCCATCTGCGTCCTTGCTGATTTTCTGTCTATTTGTTCTGGCAGTTATTGAGAGAGGCGTGTTGAAATCTCCACCTGTAATTGTGGAGAAATTGCATCTATTTTTCTTTTTAGTTGTATCAGTTTTTGCTTCATGAATTTTGAAGCTCTCTAAGTAGATGTGTAAGTGTTTAGGATTGTTAGATATAACAATGATGAATTGATCTCTTTCTCATTATAATGTCCCTGTTTATTCCTGGTAACGGTCCTTGTTCTGAAGTTACCTTTAATATTGATATAGCTATGCTTTCTTATGCTTAGTATTTGCACAGTATATCTTTTCCCCATCCTGTCACTTCCAACCTCCCTATGTATTATATTTAGGCCTTGGAGCAGGGATTGGCAGACTTTTTCTTTATCAGGCCAGATAGTAAATATTTTAGGCTTTGCTGGCCATGCAGTCTCTGTGGTAACTACTCAACTCTGATTACAGCGTGAAAGTAGCCTTAGACAATACACAAATGAGAGAGTATGGCTGTGTTCCAATAAATCTTTATTTATGGACACTGACACTACAATTTGGATTTTATATGTCATGTGTCATGATATATGACCCTTCTTTCGCTGTCTTTTAAATTATTTTAAAATGTGAGAACCATTCTTAGCCTGTGTACCAAAACAGATGGCAAGCCATATTTGGCCTGTGGGCCATAGCTTGCCAACCCCTGATTGAGACCTTTCTTCTAATTGTTGGTATGGTCAGGTTTAAATCTGCCAGCTTACTGTTTTTCTTCTATTTGTCCCATCTGTTCTTTGTTCCCATTCCTCTCTTCTTCCTCCCTGCTTTTAGATTTACTGAGATTTTTAAAATTCTGCTTTATGCCTGCTTTTGACTTATTATACTTCTTTGTTTTATTTTTCTTCGTAATTGCTCTGGGTTTACTATATGCATCTTTTATTATTACAAAGTACTATCAGGTAACATTATACCACTTTACAGAAGATGTCAGACCCTTACAACAATGTACTTCCTTCCTTAACCACCTCTCATCCTCTGAGTTACCATTGTCATGTTTTTACTTCTACTTACTTTGCGAACCCCCAGTACATTAGTTGTGTGTGTGTTTACTTTAACTGTAAATGTCTTTTAGAGAAAATTTTAAAATGAGAAATATGTCTTTAAAAAAAAAAAAAATATATATATATATATATATATATATATATATATATATATATATATATAATTGATTTTTTACAGAGAGGAAGGGAGAGGGATAGAGAGCTAGAAACATCAACCAGCTGCCTCCTGCACACCCCCCACTGGGGATGTGCCCACAACTAATGTACATGCCCTTGACCAGAATCGAATCTGAGACCCTTTAGTCCACAGACCAACACTCTATCCACTGAGCCAAACCAGTTTCAGCAGGAATATGTATTTTATATTTACCCACACATCTACCATTTCTGATGCTCTTCATGCCTTTATGTACTTCCAGATTTCCATCTATGGTAGTATTTTCCTTGTACCTGAAGAACTTCCTTTAACATTTTTTTTCTTTTCTTTTTTTTAATTGATTTTTTACAGAAAGGAAGGGAGAGAGATAGAGAGCTAGAAACGTCGATGAGAGAGAAATATCAACCAGCTGCCTCCTGCACACCCCCCACAGAGGATGTGCCTGCAACCAAGGTACATGCCCTTGACCGGAATCGAACCCAGGACCTTTCAGTCCTCAGACCGACGCTCTACCACTGAGCCAAACCGGTTTCAGCTCTTCAACATTTCTTAAGTGCAGATCTGCTAGCAGTTAGTTCTCCAAGTTTTTATTTGCATGAAAAATTCACTAGTGTGTTTTATTCTTTGAAAGGTCTTTTTCCTGAACATGGAATTCTAGGTTAGCAGGTTGTTTTCCTTTCAGCATGTTGTGGCATTGCCTTCTGGCTTGCACACTTCCTGACAAGAAGCCTGTTAGACTTATCTTTGATTCTTGGTGTGTGATATATTTCCCCACTCATGGCTGCTTTTTAGATGTTTTCTTTATCACTGGTTTTTGGCAATCCTATATAATAAAAGAGTAATATGCAAATTGGCCATCACCCCAACACACAAGATGGCTGCCCCCATGTGGACACAAGATGGCTGCCACAAGATGGCCAGCAGAGGAAAGGACCAAGCCTGCAAGGGAGGGCAACTGTGGGTGATCAAGTCTGCAGGGGAAGGCAGTTAGGGGTGACCAGGCCAGCAGAGGAGGGAATTTGGGGGCAACCAGGCCTGCAGGGGTGGGCAGTTAGGGGCAATCAGGCTGGCAGAAGAGCAGATAGGCATCAATCAGGCTGGTAGGTGAGTGGTTAGGGGGTGATCAGGCTGTCAGGCAGAAGTGGTTAGAGGAAATCAAGAAGGCAGGCAGGTGAGCAGTTGGGGGCCAGCAGTCCTGGATTGTGGGATCCCAGATTGGAGAGGGTGCAGGCTGGGGTGAGGGACACACATCCCTATGCACGAATTTCATGCACCAGGTCTCTAGTTACTTATAATGTGCCTTGATGTGTTTTGTGTGTATGTCTCTTTATTCTGTGAGGGTTTACTGAGCTTCTTGAATCTGCAGCTTTTTTTTTTTTCATGAAATTTGAAAAAAAAATTGGCCATTACTTCTTCAAATATGTATTTTTCTGTTATTCCTTGTCTCTCCTCTTTCTGGGACTCCAGCCACATATGTAAGGTCACTTGATATCATTCGGCACCAGGCTCCATGCTCATTTTCAGTCAGTTTTTCCTTTGTGTGCTTTCCTTTCACATTCTTCCAATTCCCTGTTCCTTTTTGCTGCAGCATCTAATCTGTGTAATCCCTTCCACTAAAATTTTCATCTTAGGTATCATATATTTCATTTCTAGATGTCCCACTCACTTCTGTTTTATATCTCCCACCTTTCTCTGCATTATGTTCATGTTTGAATTTATATCCTTGAGCATTCTGAACATTTTTATAAAAGCTGTTTAATGTCCTTGTCATCTCTGTCAATTCTGGTTCTTTTTCAATTGAGTGATTTTACTCTTGGTTACAGTTTCCTTTGCTTTTGTATATCTGGTAATTTTTTAAAGCCTCACCCGAAGATATGTTTATTGATTTGAGAGATAGAGAGAGAGAGAGAGAGAGAGAGAGAGAGAGAGAGAGAGAGAGAAACATTGATATGAGGAACATCAACCAGTTGCCCCCATACACACCTTGACCAGGGAGCAAACCTATAACCTTGGTGCATGAGATGATGCTCCAACTGAGTGACCGAGCCAGGGCTCGTTGGTAATTTTTTTTATTGGATGACACACGTTGTGAATTTTACATTGCTTACATTGTTGAAAGTACGCTTTAAACAAGTCTTGGACTTTTCCTGGCAGGCAGTTAAGTCACTTTTAGATTATTTTTATCCTTTCCAGGCCTGTTCTTTTGGCGCAGGTCTAACGTGGCCTTTATTCTAGGGCTAAGGTGTTGTCCTTTGGGGTCTCTTCTGAATGTCTCATGAATCCAGTGAGATCTCTGGACTCTGGCTGGAGGGTGCTCAAAAGATTTGCAGCCCTGGGAATTGTTCTCTCTTTGAAAGTTGTTCTTTCGGGCTGCTGGAATTTCACCCTGTGCGTACAGACTGATATTCAGCCAAGGACTCAAGGGAACCCCGTGAGACTTCTGGAACCCTCTCTGTGTAGCTCTCCCCTTGGGCTCTCTATCCCGCAAATCCCAGCCGTCTTGATTTCTGATCTCCATCTCCACAATTCAGCGAGACTGCCAGACTGGGCTTTCCTTCCTTCCTGGCACTGCGGTCTGTGATTAAATCCACCTAGCAGCCTTGGCAGTGACAAGGCTCGCTTCATTTGTTTATTTTCCCTCAGGGATCACAGTCCTGTGGTGCCTGTTGTCCTATGTATTTAAATGGTTTTGTATATTCTGTCTAGTTTTCTGGATTTTCTTGCTGGGAGAATACTCCCAGACCACCTTATTCTCCTGCATCTGGAAGGGGGAGTCTCAGGAAGCGCTATTTAAACCCCGAGAGTCTGGCTCCAGAATCTAGGCCCCCAGTCTCCCACTAAGCAGCAGCCACTGAGCCTTCTAGCTGCCAGGTCCCTGAGGGGCACCACCATTAGGGCCCCATGGCCATGGGCAGGGTGGCAGGGTGGCTCCACTTGTAGCTCACCCCTCCCACCCCTCAGGTGGGCCTTCACCTTGATCATCATCTCCTCCTACACGGCCAACCTGGCCGCCTTCCTCACCGTGCAGCGCATGGAGGTGCCTGTGGAGTCGGCTGACGACCTGGCAGATCAGACCAACATTGAGTATGGCACCATCCACGCTGGCTCCACCATGACCTTCTTCCAGGTGGGCTCCCGAAGCTGTCTGGGCTTAGTGTTGGGGACCCCATCATGCATAGCAGCTCAGAGTGGGGCTAGGCGGGGCCTCTTGGGTCAGAGGACCTGATTGTCCTGGAGGTCGGGGAGGCCAGGGAGCAGAGGACACACTTGTACTCTCGTGATGAGTCTGCTGTCTGGCTGGGGAAACTGGACTTTCACCCAAGGAATAGGGGAAAGGAAGCAGGTGTGGGATCTGATGTCAGATCAGTGCTGGGCAGGCCAAGGGGGTGCTGGAGGCCGCTAGGGTCAGGCCTGCCTGGCAAAATGGGCCAGCAGAGAAGAGGGAAAGCCCTTCCAATGTGTCTTGGGTGGTGGGAAGAAACCAAAAGGAAAGTAAGCCTGGCAAGGAGATTTGGGTGAGAGACTACAGAGGCAGAATGCCAGGGTAGGGCTGAGATTGGACCCTATAAGAGGGGATGTGGGAATGATTGAGGGGTGACCCCTATAAAAGCTGCACATTCCCTCTGGGGCAGGTGGGGGTAGACAAGTGGGTTAGAGAGAGGCTGGAGTTGGTCAGTGGCCGCTGGCAGAGGGGGTAAGCAGAAGGAGGGGGGGTGGTTTGAATTCCCAGGTTTCTCAGGTGGGTGGTCATTGAAATAGGGTTGGGAGGTGGCCGAGCCAGGGGGCAGGGTCTGTGGGGTACCAAGGAAGAGCAGAATCTGGGCCTCAGATCAAAGAGGGAGAGGTGGGTGCAGGAGGGCGGGCATCAGGGGGTTGGGGCAGGAGTAGTCATTCCCAAAAGATTCCCACCGGGTCCATAGGAAGTAAGCTGTTCTATTCAGCATGGACCAGGTCTTCCTGAACCAGATTGGGCCCTGGATAGATTTGAGGGTTGAGCATCTACTCCAGGGCTCTCTGAGTAAGGCCTGGGAGCACTGGGGAAGCCAAGGCTGGTGTTGAAAAAGAGACCGTGGCCCCTTCTTCCAAAGACTTTGGTCCTTGGGGTCTCACTGGACTGAGGGTGTGGGGTGTCTTGGACCATGCTTTGAGCAGTCTGTCCATCTGGTTTCTCCTCTGTTTTCCTCTGCTCTCCTCACTCTCTCTCAGGTTGAGGGAGACTTGCTGGAGGGCAGGGCACATGGTTCAGGGGAAGGGCAGCGGGTGGGAAGCCCCTCACCTCTCCCCCTTATGCCACTCTGCCCAGAATTCACGGTACCAGACGTACCAGCGCATGTGGAACTACATGCAGTCGAAGCAGCCCAGCGTGTTTGTCAAGAGCACGGAGGAGGGCATCGCCCGGGTCCTCAACTCTCGCTATGCCTTCCTGCTCGAGTCCACCATGAACGAATACCACCGGCGCCTCAACTGCAACCTCACCCAGATCGGGGGCCTCCTCGACACCAAGGGCTACGGCATCGGCATGCCGCTGGGTATGTGGCGGCGGCTGGGACTTGGAAGCAGGCCGGGCACAGGCTGGGTCTGCTGTGGGGCCTCCTGGCTGTGGGGCCTCGGGCAGGTAACATCACCTTCCTGAGCCTCTGTGCCCTCAGCCTGCAAAAACGGGCCTCGGAGCAATCGTTCCAGCCCCGCAGAGCTGCAGGGACTGCGGGAGGCTGTGCAGGACAGCACATGGCAGAAGGTTGGCGCCTTCCCACATGGCTCCAGGGCCCCTTGAGGGTGAGGACCTGGTTTCGTTACTTCAGATTCTCTGCACCAAACCCACAGCCTGGCTCAGAACAGGTGCTCAGAAAACGGCTGATGGATACTGCTGGCTGGGCGGCGGGGGCGGAGGGAGGATAGAAGAATGGGTGGATCGGCCAGCAAGACTTAGACATGGTTTTCCAGAGCTCAGTGCTGGAAGCTCCCCACCAATATTGCCACCAAATGTGGGCATTTTAGCTTTTAAACCTTTTCATGTGCTGCTGACTGCTGCAATAGTCACATATTACACATACACCCAAATCTCAGCGGCTTCGCAGCAGCGTCGGTGCATGCCAGGCAAGCAGTGTGGCCTGGTGCTTTGTGGGGACAGGCTCTGGAGTCACTGACCTGGCTTCAAATACCTCTCCTCCTGCCCCTCTTCCCCAACTCAGCTTCAGTGTCACCTGCCCTGGGGCTGGTAATACCTGCCTCATAGGATCACTGTGAGGCGTGAATACATTTCTGTAAACCAAGGTTCTGGCACATAGTAGGTACCCCATAAATACTAAGCAGCCCACTCGCCCATATCCCGAGTTCCTGGCACTGGCCGATGCTCAAGGAGGATTGCAGTGAGTGAAGAAATGAGAGGGTAGGCGTGGGGTGTTTGGGGCCCAAGGGTGGTTTAAGGAGACAGGTGGCCCAGGGTTGGGCCGTGCAGGGGAGGGGTGTGGCTGGGGTCTTTTGCCTGGCTGTGTGCAGGCATATGCTGGATGCTGAATGCTGGGACAACACAGTGGGGAGCTGGCAAGCTCCGCCCTCCTGTCCTCTGCTAGGGCCACAGACTGCAAACCAACAGTGAACACAGCTTTATAATGTGAGGTCAGGTGGTGACAACTGCTCTGAAGTAAATTAAGGGGAAGGACTGACAGGGAGACGGGCGCTTGGTGCCGTGTTAAATAAAATCCATTAGAGAAGACCCTTGAGGAGGCACCATGTGAGCAGAGCCCTCATTGAACTGAGAGAAGGAACATCCAGGCAGAGGGAAAGCTCCCGGGGGGGAGGGAGGGAGAGGGAGCAGGGGAGTGTGGCTTCTGGAGAACCAGCCAGGAGGCCAGGGTGGTGAGAGCTGAGGGCGTGGGGTTTGCGGAGCCAGTGGCCGGGCCAGCGGCTAGGACCATGTAGGCCAGGAGAGGACTTTGTCCCCACAGAACCAGGAGCCACTGGAGAGTTGTAAATATGAGAGAGGCGTGGGCTCTGACTGTTGAAACTGTCCCTCTGGCTGCTGAGTGGAGAAGAGCCTGGCTGGGGATGAGAGGTGGCTGCAGGGAGGGACCACGGCCAGTCTGACCTGGGGGGCAGTGGGCGTGGCTAGGCATGGTTGCAGGGGAGCAGTGGTCAGACTCAGAGGTGTACAGGCAGACCCTGGGACATGGTGGAGGCAGGGAGCAGTGAGGGTCTGGTGGGCAGGGCTCAGGCCCCATGGCCGCTCGCCCTGTGTGCTGCCCAGGCTCGCCGTTCCGGGACGAGATCACGCTGGCCATCCTGCAGCTCCAAGAGAACAACCGGCTGGAGATCCTGAAGCGCAAGTGGTGGGAGGGCAGCCGGTGCCCTAAGGAGGAGGACCGTCGCGCTAAAGGTCAGCCACCTACAGTGTGCCCCCTGGGAGACCCTTCACTGCCCCATGCCCACACAGTTCAACCCCTGGCTCTCTCCGACCCCAGGTCTGGGCATGGAGAACATTGGCGGCATTTTTGTCGTGCTTATCTGTGGCCTCATCATTGCTGTCTTCGTGGCCGTCATGGAGTTTATATGGTCCACGCGGAGGTCGGCAGAGTCCGAAGAGGTGAGGAGCTTGGCAGAGGGTGTGGGGCAGCAGTGGCGCCCAGGGTGGAGGGACATGAAGATGGTAGCACTAGGGGCCACACGGGGAAACAGGCCGAAAGGTGGGGCCAGGGAGTCAGGGAGCTGGGAGGTGAGGGAGCCTGGGGGAGGTCAGGGGTAGAGGAGGTCGAGAAGGGGAGAGAGCAGTTTGGGGGAGAGTCCACAGGCAGGAGGAGGACAGGAGGAAGGGGCAGAGGCAGCGATGAGGATGCCGGGGAAAGAGTGGGAAGGGGCACAGCAAGAGGATGTGGGGAGAAGCAGAGGTGGTCAAGCAAGAAGAAACGGAAGAGAGGCGAGGAGAGTGCAGCTGAAGAGCCTGAGTTGCTGATGGGTCTCCCTCTATGTCCGGAGCCTCGGGTACTTCCAGCCCCGCTCCTCCATCGCCAGACCGTTCCTGCCCTTGCCCTCCTGGCCTGTTCGGACCTTCCCTGTCCCTGCCAGCCCAGCCCTCCTCCTGTCCTCACTGTTGGTGATGACTTTGCTTCTGCTCTCCTGAGCAAGTGCAGAAACCCCTCCACATCTAGCTGCCGCCTACTTTCTCCACGGCCTGGGAGGTGAAGGTCCCGGCTCCTAAGGCCCATCTGGCCGCATCTCCTCCCTCTCGCCTTCCCTGGGACACTACCAGCAGTTCTCTCCTTACCTCTGCATCAGCAGTTCCCTCTTCACTGGGTCACGGTCGGCGGCATACAAATGTGCTGTCATTTCTCCCATCTTCAAAAAACCCTTTCAGGCCCACTTCCCCTCCCGGCCTCCAGCCACGCCTCCCCTTCCCTGACAGCCTTGAGACTTGTGTCTCCCTCTGTTCCCAATTCCTCTCCTCCCATTCACTCTTGGACACACTGCAATCCAGCTGCTGCCCCCACCTCTGCTGAAGCCACTCTTATCACCAGCGGCCTCCACAGCTGAAACCCAGTGCCCGAAGCTCAGGCCTCAACACACGTGAGGTAGCGATAGGCTTCAGCCCAGCCCTTCATTCTGTCCTCAAAACCCACTCTTCCCCGGCGCCTCGCTTTCCTCCGACCTCCCTGCCACTGCTTTGTGGGAATTCTCATGTGCGGGCCTGGAATTGCCTCTCTCCTTGGTGGTCCCATCCAACCTCGTGGGAAGATCCTCCATGCTGTGGACCCTCCATCCTGAGTTAGTTCTCTATTGCCATATGACAAATTGTCCCCAAATTCAGCAGCTTAAAACAGCAAACATCAATTCCGTTTCTGTGGGTCGAGGACTGGGAGCAGCTTAGCTAAGTCATTCTGGCTGCCCAGGGTCTCTGCTGAGGTCACGGACGGACACGATGTCGGCTGAACGCTCTGCTGGACGGGAGGAGCCACTTCTGGGATGGCTCTGTCTCAAAATGTCCCTGTGGCTTTAAAAACTTTTTATCGATTCTAGAGAGGAAGAGAGAGGGGAAGAGAGATAGAAACATCAATGGTGAGAGAGAGTCATTGATTGGCTGCCTCCTGCACGACCCTACTGGGGATGGAGCCAGAAACCCTGGGCATGTGCTCTAGCCAGAAATCGAACCGTGACCTGGTTCCTGGTTCATAGGTCAATGCTCAACACGGAGTCACACCGGCCAGCATGCATGGCTGTCCTTGTGGATTTTAATTTATGGAGGTGATGGAGTGATGGCACAGAGAATCCAAAGCCACTGAAGGAATTTTTTTAATTACATTTTCCAAGAGAAGGGGCCCCACCATGCCACACAGGACCACATGGGGAAGCAGGGTTTGTGCAGAAGCAGAAGGAGGTGGGGGTGGGGTGGGGGTGTCACGGGACTAGGCCAGAGCCCTTACTGGGGTTTCTGAAGGAAGACAAGGCAGGGCAGGGCCGCAGCTTAGAACCGGCTGGTTTGGGTAAGGCAGCCGGCTCTGGGTAGAGGAGTGGTCTCCAGTTGTCTGGTGCCTGGTCCCGGGTGAGGCAGGGCAGATGATGAGGGCGTGGGTGGGGAGTGGACTTGGGGTTGGCTGGTTGCCATGTGGAAGGTGGGCCCTTAGCCCTTTGCTATCTACCTCTAAGAATTGGCTCCCTCTGGGAAGGGCAGTCTCTCCCCGATCAGCAAGCTTTTAAAGATGTCAAGACATCTACGATACAGAAAATAAAGAGCACAACTAATACACACATGCACATGGCAGCTGGCAGGAGGCCTCAGTGCCTCACACAGGGGCCGTCACAGGGTTGTGTGAGTGCCCACGGCGTGGCAGCTGACTTTCCCGAGAGCCGGGCAGAAGCCCAGCATGTCAGCTGACCTAGCATCTTCTGGTCATACAGCAACCCGGACACAAAGGCAGAGGGGTTACCCCAGGGTGGGAACACCAAGGGATGGGATCTTGGGGCTGCCTACCTTAGTCTCCAAATGTGTATCTCACAGGGACCTCTCCCTGAACCCAGGGTTTGTACTTGACATCTCCACATGGATGTCTAACGGACACACATAAGGCAGGTATCCAACATGGAGTTCTTGCCCACCCACCAGGCAACATGGTCATTATGTTGGCTCAGGTCAAAATATGTGGCATTGCCCTTCACTCCTTCCTCTTTCTGATCTCGGCAAGTCTTGCTGGCCCCACCTTCAAGATACTAAACCAGAATCCATCCCCTTCTCACCTCCACAGCCCCTCAGTGCCTTCCTGCTCCTGCCCTTGGCCTCCCTACAGTCTATTCTCAGTACTCACTTCCCGTGATCCTGTGAGAGCACAGCCCCTACGTCAAGCTCTCCACTGGATCCCATCCGACTCAGAGGAAAAGCCAAATCCTGGTGTCCTCTGGCCTCCCATGAGCTGGCCCCCATTGCTTCTCTGACCTCATCTACCTCTCTCCCCCTTGCACACCCCATTCTCGTGGTTCCTGAGCATCGCACCACTCTCCCTCCTCTCTCTCTCTCCGCACTTTCGTCCTGCTGAGTGGCTGCCTGCTCTGGGCCAGGCTCCAGGGCACACCTCCTCTCAGTGAGTTTCCCTAACTGCCCCTTGCTGAAATTCAGCCTCACTCTCCACCCACACGCCCCACCTCTTTTGCGGACTTTATTTTTCTTCAAAGCACTCATCATCGACTCACACACCACCTGGGGTTGCATTTTTCTTTTCTTTTTGCATTTGCACACTGGAATATAACCTCCACAAGGGCAGGGACTGCTGTCTGGTTCTCTGCTGTATCCACGGCCCAGAACTGCCTGGCACACAGGAGGCGCTCAACCAATATGCCTAGCAATAATGATAGCGTGAGCCAGAGGCAAGACATGGAAGGACTAGAGTCAGACAACTTCAAGTGGAAAGAGGAGAGAGGAAGCAAAGGGCAGATTCTGGAAGAAGCCCACATAAGAACAGAGTGTGGAGAGGTGAGAGGAAGGAACCAGGAGCGAAGGGAAAGGAGAAGAAAGGCCTGAGGGTAGGGATGGAAGAAAGGTGAGGAAAGCCGGTAAGGTGGAGTGGGGTGTGGAGAGAAGCTGGCGGGGAGGGGAGAGACTTAAGCAGAGCCTGGCGAATGGGCGGTGACGAGGAGAGCGAGGGCCGGTGACCCCCCTCGCTGCCCGCAGGTGTCGGTGTGCCAGGAGATGCTGCAGGAGCTGCGGCACGCCGTGTCCTGCCGCAAGACGTCTCGTTCCCGCCGGCGCCGGCGCCCGGGGGCCCCGACCCGGGCCCTGCTCTCGTTGCGCGCCGTCCGCGAGATGCGCCTCAGCAACGGCAAGCTCTACTCGGCCGGCGCGGGCGGGGACGCGGGCGGCGCGCACGGGGGCCCTCAGCGCCTCCTGGACGACCCGGGGCCGCCAGGCGGGGCCCGGCCCCTCACCTCCACCCCCTGCACCCACGTGCGCGTCTGCCAGGAGTGCCGGCGCATCCAGGCGCTGCGGACGTCCGGGACCGGCGCGCCCCCGCGTGGCCTGGGAGCCCCCGCCGAGGCCGCCAGTCCGCCACGGCCGCGACCTGGCCCGCGCGAGCTCGCCGAGCACGAGTGACCATGGGACGTGCAGGTGCAGGGACGGACCCGCCCCCGCCTCTGGCTGCCCCGTCGCCCCTGCCAGCGAAGAACTGAACTTGTGCCCTGGCGGCCGGTCGCCACGATTTTGCCTTGGGTTCCCGGTGAAGTCCGAGGCCCGCTCCGGAGCCTGCCTGCGCCCCCTATTGGAGTGACCGGAGTGTGCGGCGGATCCCGCACTCTGCCCCCCATGCGGACACGAGGAGCGCAGGAACTGAGGACTCCAGGGGCCAGGGACCACAGGGTTATCCCTGGAAGCGGGAAGCAGTCTGCCAGGAAAACCCTGGGTCTGCTCAGGCTCCCAAGACTCGGCGCAGCTCCCCACTTCTGGAGGAGGGCCTCTGGGCAGGCGGGTGGCCCCTGGCGCCCCTCGCTTCTTCTTTTTTCTCTCTTTTTTGGGGGGAGAAACTTCGGAATTTCTATGAGATACCCCCCCCCCCAGGGAGCGGGTCAGTTGGGCCCTCATCCCTCCCCCGCCACACCCCAGTTCCCGTTGGAATAAAAAAAAGAACAAAACCCCCAAACCGGGGATACCCCGAGCTCATTTCCTGGGATCGGGAGGGCATTAAAGGCTTGGACCACCCAGGGAGTCTGCTCAAAACCCAGACTGGATGGTCACTCTTGCACTCTCCATCCTTGGCCCTGCCCACAGCCAGCAGGTCAGCCCAGGTCCCGGCAGCTGGCCCGTCTCCACTGACCTCTCAGGACAGAAGGAGGCTGCGACAAAGACCCGGAGACAGATGGAGAGAGATGCGGGAATCTGTGGAGGCGGAGACACCAGGAAACACAGAAAGACAGAAACCAGCTGGGGCTGGGGGAGGGGCGGGCAGGCGAACTGTTCAGGGTGGTGGTGCCTGGGGGCCCTTGTGGTGGTGGTGTGTGCCTAGGCAGGGATCATTGGCAACTTTGTAATCATGCGCATATGTGTGTGCACATACATCCATGAGGCCATCTTCAAACGTCTGTGCTGACCCTGTGTGTCTGCAGAAAATATACCTCCCCGACCCCCCAGAGAGGGAAGGATAAATCCCCGCAGAGAGGGAGAAGGGTGGGTCTGTTTTCTGTCTCGCCCTCCCCCGCCCTGCTGGAGGTTTCTGTGGAAACTGCAGCTGAGAAAGGACGAGTGAAGGTCACACAGCGAGAGCCAAAACAAGGCCGAGTAGGAGGGGAGTGTGTGGAGAGGGAGAATGGGAAGAGACCCAGATTGGGGGGGGGGCGGTAGGGAGAGACAAGGGCGCAGAGAGAGATAGGGAAGGAGAGTAGGGGCAGATGAGGTGAAAGGAGAATGGAGGACACAGAGAAGGATGGGCGGGGAGGGAGACAGATGAAACAGGGAGGTAAGATACCTGGGAATTGGGGCTGAGAGAAGCAGGGATGGAGGTGGAGCGGAGACAGGTGAGAGACAAGCAGCCATTGGAAACTAGAGGGGGACCGGAGCGGACCAGAGCAGTGAGCGAAGCCAAACGGGGACAGTGGGAGGGAGAGAGGCTGGCCCTGGCTGGCCCTGTGGCCCAGAGCGGGGAGCTGTCCGTTCAGCACCGGCCCGGCTGCAGCACTGCGTCTCCCCTGCGCCTGCCTTTGTAGAACGTGGGCAGGTCGCTCCCCAAGGTACCTGCAGAGCACATAGCACCCCCAATCTCCATTCAGCCCCTCTGTGTCAGGCACTTGCCCTCAGGGACAAGGGTGAGAGTGAGCTTGGGTCTCAATGGTTCTGTTGTCTCCACATGTCTCTTGAACTCTAATCGATGTCTCTGCCCTTGGGCCATACTGGGAGTCCGCCCAGTGACTAGAATACATTTGCAGGCATTTCTAGTCTCTCCCAGTCTCAGTCCCAATACCACACTGCTGATCACCTCTGGGGTCTCTCCTCACTCCCACCCACATTTCTGCTCTGAGTCTCTCCAGTCTTTATCTGGGAGAGTCTCCAATTTTCTAAACGTCTGTGTCCCTGTGTCCATATCACCTTCACTGGGTACTTCTGCTGCTCTGTCTCCCTCCATCCATTTTCTCATCTCTGTGTTTGCCATCTCTGCTTTTGTCCATCTGTATCTGCCTCTCTGGTTCTGGACCATGTGTCTATTTCCCTTTTTATGTGTGCCTGTCTCTAGTGCTGAGTTCCCCTGTCGCTGTCCATTCCCGTGACCTTCCTAAGTCTTCTCCCCCGCCTCCCCACTCCCGCCCCCAACTTCTGCAGAGCACGATGCACAGTCATCAGTCTCACCAGGGTGGTGCTGAGGAGGGAGTGTGGGTCTGGCATGGGGTGTGGGGGATCAAGGGCTTCCTGACCCAGCTGGAGAGTAGGAGGAGAGAACCTGGAATCTCTTGGGACCCAGACATCTCTAGGCTTCTCTGTCTCTCCATCCCCTTCCCCATGGTCCTGGCGCATTCTTGCAGGCCAAGGGGTCAGGAGAGAGAGAGGAGATATATTGACAGGTTCTCTCTTGCTCTCCCAGGAAGGAGACAGAGTTGGGGAGATGAGCCTGGGGTCCAAATACTTAGCTTTAAAAATGTGCCAACCCCCCCCCCCTTCCCCAGTCTCCATGGAGACAGGCCAGGTCTGCTGGCCCAGCCTCCTTTGCTGCATAGTCGGCCTCCCTGTTACCATAGCAACAAGCGATAGCAGAGAGGGAAGGGGATAGGTCAGTTTATGGCATAGGGTTAAGGCTCTGGATGTTGGGAGAAACCAAGAAACTGCCTCCCTGCCTCCTACTCTCTGTCCTCCTCCCCCCCCCCCCCCCAGGCTCACACTGCTCCTTGCCTGTGAACACTCCCATAAGTGGAGAGAGACCCACATTCTGAGAAAGCCACAGGGACAGGTTCTCTGCTCCTTCTGCTTTCCTCGGGCAGAGTCTGGAGCGTTCCTCACAGAGCAGAGGGGTGGGGTGGCAGGACATGACTCCTCGGGTTTCCAGTGGGGGACTGCTGGGGTGCTGTGTGCATGTGGCAGGCCTGGGCATGGGTGCCGGCTGTGTGTCTGTATGCACATACACATACCAAGATGGATGTGTGTGGCGTACGGGTGGGGGCGTTGGGTGTATTTGGAGGTGCCACAAAGGTGTACACAATAGCACCCCAATAGATGGTGTGTACAGCACGGAAGGTGTGTGGAATGGTGTCGAGTGATGTTTCTGCGAATTATTGTGCTGTGTGAATTCATCATTAACAATTCGCAACCATAATTTGTCAGTTTTGAACTGTGAACCTTTGTTCAGGCCCAGATACACTGGGGAGAAGCATATGTGATGTGTGTGTGTGTGTGTGTGTGTGTGAGACCATGCAACAGCGTCCACAAAGGCTCTTGGAGGCAGTGTGAGACCTGTGGTGTGTGTGTGTGTGTGTGTGTGTGTGTGTGTTGGTTCTGTGGGTGGCATGGTTTTGGGTGTCTATGTGAGATGGAATGAGGCCAGATTTGGTGTAATGTTCTGGGGGGGGGGGGGTGTTAAGCTACATGGCACTTTATGGCTGTGGTTGTGGTGTGATGGGTGTGTGAGGTATGCGCTGTGTGCATTTCACTTCTGCGTGTTGGTGAGACTTGGAGATTTGTGATGGGGCAGTGCCGTGTGTGTGAGTGAGGGTACTGTGATCATCAAGCTGAGGTGGGCTGTGATGGAGCGGTGCCTGTGTGTGTCCCCAGGATCGGGGTTCTGGTTGTGATGTGTCTCCTGTGGACCGGACAGTTGTGTCTTACTGGATGGCTCTGCCAAGGTGTGGGGTAGGAGGAATACACACTCTGAGGGGTCTCAGGTCTCCTCCCGCCTCTGTAGCACCCTCTCCTCATTGCGGGGTCTCCCTTACCACTTGTGCCCTCTGCAGCGCCCCCTCCTGAGCAGAACCCCACGCCATCTGCAGCCGCCCCCTCTCCCTGCGGACAGAGGTGCCCGGGGCCCCCAGCCTTGCTGCGGAGGCTTGCCGGGCTTTCCCCGCACCAGGTGTCCACCTCCCACAGCACAGCCCTCCCCTTCGCGGCACACCCCACAAAGAGGGGAATTCCGGGGCTCCCCTTCCCACAGTGCCCCCTCCTCGGAGGCGCCCCCACATTGTGAGGGTCTCTAGGTTTTCTCCTTGCAGGGGATCTCCGGGATCCCCCCTCCCGCAACCTTCTCCGCTGGGGGAGCTGGGGGCGGGAGGACAGCTGCAGTACCGGGGGCGGGGCCGCGGGCCGCTCGTCAGGGCGGCGGCGCCCCTGATTGGCCGGCGCCGGTCCCCCCCGCGGGCGCGGGCATATGAGCCGGCGGAGGCGGCGGCGCCGCAGACCCGGTGCGGTAGGGCGCACCGCCGGCGGACGCGGACGGCCCGAGCCCGCGCCTGAGCCCACCCCGAGGCCCCTTCCCCGCCCTCCTCCCCGCCTGCGGGCCCGCGACCCCCGGAGCCGCCAAGATGGGGGTAGGTGCTCGGGGGGCAGCAGGGCGGTGCGTGTGTGCAGCCTGAGGGTCCGGTGACATTGGTGCCCGCGGGCCCCGGAGCGCGCCGATCCGGCCCGCGCTTCCTGCGTCCCGGGGGTGGGGGGTGGGGGGGAATGGAAGGTGGTGCTTGCCTCCTGGGTCGGGGTCTGTGTCTGTGTGTGCGGGTCCGCGGGGCGCGGACCGGCCTCCCATCCCTGCCCTCCCCGGTGCTGTGCATGCCCGCTCTGGGTGCGTGTGCTTGGGCCGCGTGTGGGCTCCTGGCTCCCGCAGGCCCCGGAGCACCGTCCGCCTGCGATTGTGCAGCCCGTGTCTGGGTGTGTCTGCCAGCTGGTGTCTGTGTCTCGGGGCGTTGGAGCCCCTCTGCTTCCCTGGCCGGGTGGGGGGTGAGGGGTGGGGACCACATGACCTCTCTTTCTCCTTCCAGTCCTGCGGGGGGAGGGGGTCTCTGCAGTGCGGTGCGCTGCGGCCTGGGGCTGCGCTAGTGCCCAGCCCTTGTCTGGGGGAGCACACACCGGGGCTGGGAGGAGCGGGAGAGCCCTGGCTGAGGGCTGAGTGCCTGGCTGGAGGCAAACGTTTG